GTTTCACTGATTTACCTGGTAGAACAATATCTTTTGAAGGAATGCTTTTCAATAGGTTTACTGATAAATATTGTGAAAAAAGGAATTTTAAAAATGCATATTTTCTTTATTTAATCAATTTTTCAATCTTTAAAAAATATTCACAAGGGCAATAACTCCTTTTACGGTCTCTTCATTCAGTCATTTGCTTTATTGTACTTCTAATGTAAAATAGTTTCCCTGATATTCACAATTCAAAAGTATCTTATAAGTAGGAAGTATTTGGGAACATTCAGCATCAGAATTATGCGTTTTAACCAGTTTTTTGAATATTTTTCATAATACGTACTGTTTACAAAAAAGCAATTTTTTGTTGACATATACTTCTGTTTATTCATGTCTCCTATCTTAAGAAATAATACGGTGACCTACACATTTTCTGCAATAATTGGAAAATTTAAAGTATATTAAATGAAAATAAATGCAATTTTTGTACTTTGAACCACTAGAATTGTGAGGGTGGTTAAGGTAATACCCACAGACAGATCAAATTAACAAAAAGAAAATGCATTTCCACTTTATAACCACCAGTTGTGCAACCCAACCCAGAGGAACCACTGACCCTAAGCCATATATTTCAAAATTTTGGAAATTTCAATATAAATTGCATTTCATCATAAGTGGTTCATTAATATCAAAGAGCAGATTTCAAAGCTTCACATTATTACTTTATTTTCAGACTATGTACACCCCCTTCCTCCCCCCTGTCTGCAGTACCCCTAATCCAGTGATCCCGAAATTAACCATTTTGGAAGAGGCACATTTCTTCATCATTAATCTGTGATCATTGGCATTATACCCAGGAGCAAAGGAAAAGATATCCAAAGAATTCATGCATTTTCAGAATATACTCATTAGAGCCCCACCCAAACACCAGAACCCCTGACCCAGCTATGGCCATGAAATTTAAAAATTGGGAAGAAGCACCCTTCCTCATCATAACTATGTACAAAGTTTATTGGTGTAATACCCATGAGCAGAGCTAGGAGAAGATTTTTAAAGAATTTATGCATGTTCACTATATAAACAAAAGAACCCCACCCTAACCCTGACCGATGGGCCACAAAATTCACAATTTTAGAAGAGGCATTCTTGCTCATTATAATTATGTACTTAATTTGTTTGTTTAATACCCAGGAGCAGAGAAGAAGATTTTCTAAGAATTAATGCATTTTCACTATATAACCCATATAGCCCCACCCTAACACCAGAATCCCTGACCCAGGGGCCATGAAATTCACAAGTTGGAAAGAAACATCCTTCCTCATCATAGCTATGTAATAATTTATTGGTTAAATACCCAAGAGCAGAGGAGAACATTTTTAAAGAATATATGCATTTTCACTTTCATAAGGCCTAAAATAAAATTTTGTTGTTTGCAGTTGCCTACCGACCCACTGAAAATGCACCCGACCCAAACTTTTTAAAGCCATTTTGTAAATTTAATTTTTTTTTATTTTCCATGATATTGAAACTGTTTCATTTTCAATTTTTGACTTGTTTTTGTCATTCAGTGGTTTATAACAAGAGTGGAGCTTATTCATGTTTGGTAGGCCAATGAAAATCTCTCTTTCAGAAATCTGAAAACATTTTTTTTTCAAAAAAAGAAACAGTGTCTACCTACCTACCAAGTCTAAAAATTGTAGGTCGGCAACTGCAAACAAAGAATTTTTTAAGCTTGGCCTAATCAACAGAGCCCCGTCCTAATACCAGAACCCCTGACCCAGGGGCCATGAAATTCACAATTTTGGTAGAGGCAACCTTATTCAATATAACCAATTTCTTGGTTAGTTTATTTATTGCCCAGAAGCAGAGAAAAATATTTTCAAAGAAATAATGCATTTTCACTATATAATCTATTTAGCCCCGCCCTAACACCAGAACCCCTGACCCTGGGGCCATGAATTTCACAATTTTGGTAAAGGACTCAATGCTGATATCAATCATGCCAACAGTTGGACTGCTTGATGTCAAGGAGTAAAGAAAAAGATTTTTAAAGATTGCACTAATTTTAGTGGTTTTGGTCCCACTCCTCAGGGGGCAGGGACCACAAAATTCACAATTTTTGCTCCCCTTCACCCATAGATGCTTTGTGCCAAAATTGGTTGAAATTGGTAAAGCGGTTGCAGAGAAGAAGCAGAAAATGTTCAAATTTTAACACACAGTGCATGACAGACAACAGACAAAAACGGATAGCAATAGGTCACCTGAGTAAACTGAAAATTTGAATATTTGAATACTTGTTTTAAATTATTTTTATTTTATATCTTTTTTTTACAGAGTTGTCTGGCTTGATAAATTAATTCTCATAGTTTAAACAGCTAACATCAGAACTCACCTTTTTGACACATAATTTTAAACTCCTTCAGATTTCCATTTACTCTTTTGGGCATAAACCAACCTAGTTCCAGGAAGTTTTCTCCTCTTTTTTCTGCTCTAAGTTTTTCAACTTCTGAAGGTACTGTAAAATCAATGATACAATATTGACAGCATTTAACAAGAGACCCCATCTCTCACCTGAGCACATGGGTTATGGAAAAAGCACATGAAAAGTTTAGAGATTTGGGGGCTTGAATTTTACCGGTATACTACTTGAGGATGCCTCCATATCATTATAGCATATAACTTTGCTATTCTTGAAAAAAGGTCTTTAAAAGATTTTCTTCCTATATACCTTATAACTGGTAATTATTACTGGTGTTTATTTTTACAAACTTTGGTTGAAACAGAGTGATTTAAATTTTTACGCCTTTTACGGAGGTAAAATTCCAGATGAATGTTTTCGCATTTTGAATGAGTTTACATACAAATACAAGTGTAATGTGTCTGGACAACCATATGTAAAAATAAAAACAAAATTGCTCCCATAATATTGAATGTCTATATGTGAAATCATATGTTTGTTCATTTAATAACCTTTATAAATATCATATGCCCTTCATTTATTCCTGTTTTTTAATAATTACATATTACTTATGCATTATTGTTGCGCACCACGTGCCCGTCTTCATTTTACCAGAAACAAAAAGAGACAACTTAACCATCAATGAAAGTCGAAGTTTTTATCTGAAGCAAATAACAAGAGGCCCAGGGGCCACAGCGCTCACCTGAGCACATCAGCTAGGAAAAAACACATCAGATCAGAACTGAAAGTTAATTTAAGTTGGGGGGGGCTTGAATTTTTAACCCCCAAGGGGATCATAATTTGAACGAACTAGAATCTACATTACCTGAGGATGATTCCATACAAATATTACTAATCCTGGCTTTGAAGTACTTGAAAAGAAGATTTTTAAAGATTTTTCCTATATATTCCTATGTAAAACTTTGATCGGCCATTTTGGCCCCGCCCTACCCCCGGGGGTCATGACTTGAACAAACTTGAATCTACTCTACCTGAGGATAATTTCACAGGAGTTTCATCTTTCCTGTTTCAATGGTTCTTGAGAAGAAGAATTTTTAAGATTTTTCCTATATATTCCTATGTAAAACTTTGATCGGCCATTTTGGCCCCGCCCTACCCCCGGGGTCATGACTTGAACAAACTTGAATCTACACTACCTGAGGATGATTCCACATGAGTTTCATCTTTCCTGGCCCAGTGGTTCTTGAGAAGAAGATTTTTAATGATTTTTCCTATATATTCCTATGTAAAACTTTGATTGGCCATTTTTGCCCCGCCCTACCCCCGGGGGTCATGACTTGAACAAACTTGAATCTACACTACCTGAGGATGATTCCACATGAGTTTCATCTTTCCTGTTTCAATGGTTCTTGAGAAGAAGATTTTTTAAGATTTTTCCTATATATTTTCTATGTAAAACTTTGATCGGCCATTTTGGCCCCGCCCTACCCCCGGGGGTCATGACTTAAACAAACTTGAATCTACACTACCTGAGGATGATTCCACATGAGTTTCATCTTTCCTGGCCCAGTGGTTCTTGAGAAGAAGATTTTTAAAGATTTTTCCTATATATTCCTATGTAAAAATTTGATCGGCCATTTTGGCCCCGCCCTACCCCCCGGGGTCATGACTTGAACAAACTTGAATCTACACTACCTCAGGATGATACCACATAAGTTTCATTTTTCCTGGCCCAGTGGTTCTTGAGAAGAAGATTTATAAAGATTTTTCCTATATATTCCTATGTAAAACTTTGATCGGCCATTTTTGCCCCGCCCTACCCCCGGGGGTCATGACTTGAACAAACTTGAATCTACACTACCTGAAGATGATTCCACATGAGTTTCATCTTTCCTGGCCCAGTGGTTCTTGAAAAGAAGATTTTTAAAGATTTGTTCTATATATTCCTATGTAAAACTTTGATCGGCCATTTTGGCCCCGCCCTACCCCCGGGGGTCATGACTTGAACAAACTTGAATCTACACTACCTGAGGATGATTCTACATGAGTTTCATCTTTCCTGGCCCAGTGGTTCTTGAGGAGAAGATTTTTTAAAAATGCCAATAATTTTTCTCTAAATCATGATTATCTCCCCTTGGAAAAGGGCGTGGCCCTTCATTTGAACAAACTTGAATCCCCCTCACCCAAGGATACTTTGTGCCAAGTTTAATTGAAATTGGCCCAGTGGTTCTTGAGAAGAAGATGAAAATGTGAAAAGTTTACGACAACGACAACGCCGACAACGACGACGACGACGACAACGCCGACAACGACAACGACAGACAACGGACAAATTGTGATCAGAAAAGCTCACTTGAGCCTTTGGCTCAGGTGAGCTAAAAATTAAGAAATTAAGGGTCAAAGACTTGAAAAATGGGAATAATTTGAGGACCTTAAAACATTGCTGTGACATCATGCCCTTGTTCTTTCAGTCTAAAAATTTACCTGTAGCCGTCCGATAATAATAATTACCAGTCTGATAATATATCATCGGACGGCAATGATAACAAAATCGGACGGTATTTAAAAACAAAAAGAAGAGTGGAATAAGTTAAATATGTCCACCACCACCCCAAAAAAAATTAGGGAAAAAAATCAGGGTAAGCAATCGCACGGAAATTTAGCTGATACAAAATAGCAAATCCATGAAAAAATCGAGTTTAAACCATCCTCAAAATAATACTTCCTATCTTTTAAGTGTTTTTGATACAGCACTTTGAATAAGCGAATTTAAATCCATTTCTGAGAAAAAATCGGCAAATCTATTTATTTTATAAGGATTGTTTCCAAATGGCTGCACTTGTAAAACCTGAGAATTTCCATAATATAAACTAAAACTTCAGGATGAAGATCTGCATTTTTACTTTCCATGGTGATGGTTATAATTTCACCCCCAAAAAAATCTGTATCAAGGTCAATTTATGCACAAAATAAATAAAAATGTTCCAAAATAAAAAAGAAAATCCTTCCCCATCGGTCCCCTGTCCTGCTTATGTAAACGACTGCCATTGAATGAATGAAATGAAACAAGAGTTAATTCACTTACTGTTTTTACTGTCTCATTTCTTTTGTCTACTTATTAGATGGGTAAAAAACAATTCATGCCTAAACTCCCATTGTGTTATTATCGGACTCCTCCAGGTAACTTTTGGACATTTAAATGGCAATGTTTTAAGTAAGATATATGCCTCATACTATTCTATACGTAAAATTATCAGACAGTTTTCGGCCCTAACGGGCCTCAAACAGTCTGATAATTTTACATATAGAACAGTATTTGGCATATATCCATTACTTATAGCTGTAATAATCAAGTCATTATCAGAAAGAGCTCGGTTCACTTTATGCATAAAATTGCCCTGTAGATATACCAATTGATTGATTAACACTTTATTTTCCATTTGAGGCATTAAAATAAAATAGAGACTTATTGCTTTCATTTCCTAAAAAAATTGTTCTCCTAAAAGTCCAGGTCTTGGAGAACTGGCTTTATGAAATTGCAATGTTCTTGAATTTCAAGGTAAACAGGTATAATTGAGTACTTTCAGTGAAGAAAAATAGTATCAGCGCACTCTTTGATCTAAAAAATAAAACATGTCCTTTAATCTCCAGAAACAGTTCTATCATTTAGAAGTTGCATATTTTAACAAGGCCCAATCTACTTGATCTGTGCATACGTTTTAACGCAGCGTCAACTCAGGCACGTCACAGTACCCTTGACTGCCGTTACAATTGAAAACAATAATGTCACAAGTACATACATGCCAACTTTCCCGATTTAGGCGGGATCCTCCCGATTTTACCCTTTCATCCCGCTTTCCCGATCGTGAGAGAAAAATTGGCCCAATTTCCAGATTTGAAAAAAAAGCACCAAAATTTCCGATTTTAAAAGTTTCCTTACAGCTGAATTTTGACAATCGGGATAACAATGTCAGACTTGTTTATTCAATGCACACAGACAAGTTTCATTGTTTATTTAACCAGGTGTTAGTCACAGGAAATCACTTCACGCATGAATGCACGCAGTTGTCCAGGTACAGGTAGCTTATAGCTTGGGGCAATTAGGGATTATCTTGTCAGTTTTAAGGGGTATGCAAGGTGAAACATATAGATTAACGTGATAATTGTTAGTTCTTTTATTAAAATTATAAATTAAAGACAATAAAACACTAGTCAAACCATAAAATCGGAATCCAAAGAGATTGTTTTTTTTTTAAAACGAAAGTAGAAAACTACAAAGCATAGCTGCTGATTTTATCTACCTATAATGAAAAATATTGTAACGTTTGGCAGTTAAAATATTATGAAAAAAATTAAGATGAAACAATCAAGTGTATGTCAATTAGAATTTCTTTTCCCTCCCTTCTCCCAAAATTAATATTGTATGTTAGGTATATGCATGACTTAAGGAAATACCCACATGGCACCATCAAACCTGACAAATTTCATGACTGTAAAAAAAATAATTCTCTTTTGGATAGGTGGTATAAATTTCTGTAAATTTAGTATCTATTAGAATTTCTAATTAATTGAAATATAAATAAAAAATCTCAAAAATGTTTCCAGAAACAGGACTTTACAGTATCAAAACCTCATATATTTTTTAGCCTTTGAAAAAAAAAATGATTTAAAAGTTGTACAATTTTCAATTTTTCACTAAATAAAATATGTGTCCTGGTAGAAAAATTATGTTGTTTACATATGTAACTTAATACCCCTTCTTTAGTGAGAGAGGCACCTATTTTAGAAAAAATATTTCAATTTTGGAAAGAAATTAAACATCATTTTTTGTGTTAAATTAATCCTTAAGTTGTATTGATAAGTGATATCAATATTATAAATAAAAAAAAAAAAAAAAGATAATTTCATAATCATTTAATTTCACTACAAAATGTCGCGAATTTAAAGCTTTAAAAATTGTCGTCACGCACTAAATCCTCCATGGGAATTTTCAAAAGTTGGCATGTATGCAAGTAAAATGACGTCAAATTGCACTAAAATGTTTCGCTGATCTTGCATACCTGGAAGCTCTATAAACTGTGCATATTGAAAGCTGG